GTTACTGGGTTTGCACGGCTGTAAGCCAGAGCCACATTTCCACCATGATCTAAATCTGGGAAGCGCAATGAATTAGACTGAAAGTCGGGAAGATGACTTCCCAGGCAATATGTCAGCTTCAAAAATGCATTTGATCAGTTGCTGAAGTTGGATGACGTGCTTAGATTCTCTTACTACCTGGGAGCATGTAACTAACTGAAATACGAAAAATAAATGAGAAGTGATGTGATTTTAAAGGAAATAAAACCTTTTGAGATCACAAAAGTTCAAAGTTTAGTTCTCTCTGAACTCTGAGGAAAAGATTCCAGTTCAATATTTAATTCCAAACAATTTGCCATCTTTTCTAAACTGTTTTTTGCCTGCTGGACTGCAGAGCAAAATGCAGGACCATTTAAGCAGGAAACTTCTGTAACTGTATTTGTGATGCAAATATTATCACATCTGATTTTTCTTTCATATTCTTGGAAGGAATGTTGAATACTGCATACAGCCAAGACTAGCAGGCAATTGTTGTGTAGAAACATTCTCAAAGACGACTTCAAAGTTTTCTTTCATTATTCATTACCTGGTGAGGATGTGCAACAAGCTAGTCTTTTTGCAATTACTACAGCCTGACTGGTGCATTACTAAGGTTGCAGAATACTTTAAAGGAATAAAATTCATGGGGAGTAAAGAAATATTTGGTAATGTACGTACACAGCTCAGAGTTGAATAAACTACAGATATTTAATCTTTCCTTGGGATGAATGTAGCTTCAAGCTGCTTTACAAATGAACGGGTATCTGGTTCCACTATTTACATCGGTTATCAGGCCATATTCTCTTCTTGATTACATTAGTGTCGATTCATATACATATACTTGAATTCTTCACAGATAACATTTACAGCAGCATGCCATAAGAATACGCCCTAAAGCATGTTGCACAAGAGACTTTACAATAGAGTTCCTTTTCTAAGTAACTTCAACCATTGGCTGCATGCATAGAATGAAGGGTGCATCTCAAAGCAGTTGGAAAGAGCTCCACAGTCTTGATGAACGCAGCTTAACGTTAAAGAACCATACAGAAATGACCACTGCAGTTTTTCTATCCAGATTCTTCAATCTGGAAGCAGTGGAAACAATATCCTGTTAGAAAATGGCATGTATATAATGAAGTAGGTGATTCAGCTGAGTGGTCCCAGCTCCTGACATGGGATGGCAACAGATAAGGATGAGATTTATCAGCCTGGAGGGGAGGGAGATGTTTGCTGATAAATAATGATAGACTTCTGGTGTGTAACTATTGCTGGTGGGGGAGACTGGGCTGAAAGGAAAGCAGCCAAAGCTAACTCCCTAGCGAAAACAATGCCCTCGCTGCTGATTGCTGTGATAGCTTGTTTAACATAGCAGCAGTCTGGCTAGAGCCAGACTCAAGTGCAGTGATCCTATTAAGGCATCTTAAATGGTCTTCATGGCCTTACTAGCACTGAATGAAAGATCACAATTAGCCTGAGTTAACCAAAACCAGCGATGGTGACTGTGTATTAAAAACGCTGGGTACTCAGAAAGGACTCCTTCCCTGCAAACTGCAGCACGTTGTTTTTTGAAAGATAGCATCTTCTGGCAACGCACAGCGTAACGGGGCGGTGGAGGTTTGGGAACGGGCAGGCACAGGGGTGCTGTTGGCCATTAGGTGCATGGGCTGGGCAGTAGCTGAAATAGATGGGTCGCGTTTAATGCTGTCCCCTCCCCAAGACTCCAGGAAATGAGTGTCAGAACAGGCTGTGGTGAGTGTGAAATTGTGCTAGGCATGCATAATGCAGCGAGGCTGCTAATCAAACCTCTCTCACTGTGACTAATCAGAAAGATCTCTTTGATATTCCAAGAAATTAGTTGGAAGAGGAAGCACACAACAGAGAAATAAAGCAGAAGCTTAGATGCAGGCAAAGATAAGGACTTTGATCACAGTAGTTTAGTGGGCACAGAAAGAGGACAGCGAAGATAAAAGAAACAAAAAAAAATGCTGATGAGAACAGTTAAAATCTGCTGAGAGCAGCAGCCATTAATGTAGACCATGAGGAATAGATAAGAAGTTACGTGCCTTCCTGGTGCTTAAAAAACCAGTAGATATAGGCACCTGAAAACAAATTTTTCCTCAGCATGACTCTGTAGTGATGTTGCAGGGATGCATGTGGTCCCTATTTTTAAAGAAAAATTTCTTTAGGGGCAATAAATGCACTCTATTCAGAGCAGCAAAGAAGAGTATATTACTTAACAAAACATGCCCAAACCCCCCAAACTTCCTAAGAGGCAGCCCAGGCCAACGTATGGAATATTAGCCTGGGAGACAGGACAAACAGATTGTCTTCCCAGTACTTCTCATGACTGCCAGGTGGTCTGAGAAAAGTTGAGTATTCTGTTTTTACATAATGGAAAGACTTGGGGCTTTAAGACAATCTCAGTTCACTAGAAATTACATAGTAAAATTCAGAAAGTTGGTACTGCTGCTGTCAGCAGAGAGGCTACTAATTCAGTAGGCTATGTGGACTGTTTTCTTCTCGTTTTGATTTAAACTCTGACTCCTTCACGCGTTTTTTTGTACTGATATTATTTCTGTCTGTCAGCATGGATAAGTGGGAGCAGAACCAGATTCATGGTCTCTCTGTAATGAAATTACTTCACTTGAGTGGAGCTGAGCATCTGTGTCTGTTCTTTGCATGTCTAGACTTCCATGCTTTTATAACATCTTCAGCAATATTAATTGTGGCAAAGGAGACTATAAATCGTCTCAATTGTCCACACGATGGTGAGTACATTGTATAGACATAGAGATCTCAGACTAGATACTAGCAAAATTTCTTTACAGAGAGGGTGGTCAAAGACTGGAAGAGCCTTCCTAGAGGTGGTCGATGCCCCATGCCTGTCAGTGTTTAAGAGGTAATTGGACAATGCCTTCAATAATGTGCTTTAACTTTTGGTCAGCCCTGAAATGGTCAGGCAGTCGGACTAGATGGTCACTGTAGGTCCCTTTCCAACTGAAACTACTCTAGTCTAAAAGCCACAGAAGGATCAAACTGCTGAAGAGAGAAACCATCAGCTGACTGACACTGAACCAAACCTGCAACTAAAAGAGGCAATGCCAGCAGAATAGCAATGTGAAGCTGTAAAGAGATCCATTATTCCAGTCAATCAAAATCCCAAAACAAAAATCAAGTAAAAAAAAAAAAAATCCAAAGCCCTAAACAAGTGCTTCTCAAAAATTTCAGCATGAGACACAGAGAAATTCCTACCTGTTGATTACTATTTGAAGAAAAATCAACAAAGTTATTTCTTTCAGCTTGCAAAGGTAGCCAGCAGTTGTTTAAGAATATAATTTCATGCTTGGAAAGAAACTAACCTGTAGCATCTTAATGCCAATTAGGAGCAAAGAGCACTCATCAGTGTCACTAGGATTAAAATCAGAGTAACTTTTCTTGAATTTGGAAGGAAAGAAGCCCGCTCTTACCTGTACTCTTAGGGAATAAAAAAAGGAGCATGCAGAGAAGAAACAAAAGATGCAAGGGTACAGATGGTATCTTTGCCTATCGGGCTGATTGCGCGGCTGCTGAATGAAGTTTCACTCTGGAATGTTGCCTTTCAGAAAACAATGTAACAAAAAAGATGATGTTCCATTTCCCTTTCATCCTAATCAAACCAGCAGAGCAGGTCTCAATATTGCTTTAATCTTTGTTTTCAATAGTAGTTTCTATTTTTCTCCATGGTTGTATTATCACACTCCAAAAACACTGGGACAAGTTCACTTGGAGCAGTCAAAACAAACACACAAGTCTGTTGTTTTGGGCCCCACGTGGCTGCTTCCTTCTTGCACAGCACAGGCACGCTGCCTCCAAGCGAAGCTATAGGCTCCCACTGCGCAGGCGAAATGCCAAACCGTGCAGAAACTGGGTATATCAGCACTATTCCTGTGCTGTCCCCCAGGTCCAGCTGTCCTTACAGGTGGTGAGCATGTGAGGTGTCGATTCCCCTGTGGTCCAGCACGGGTGATGAAGGACTGCTGAATCACTGCAGAGCAATCACGTTACCATCTTGGCTGCTGCCTCCAACCCCGACCTCCTACTTGTACATTGATCACTTCTTGATTAGCTCATGCTCCAGCGCTGTCTTCTGTGCACAAATATCCAGGAATGTGAAAGATGATATTTAGCAGGCTCTTGTAGACACCCCTGCTGAGAGATTATCTCCATTATCCGCACTGGCAAACTGAGACACAGGGATCTGCAAGCCCAAGGTGAAGTCAGGAGTATCGCTGCCTGTGTGTTCCAGACCACAGCGTATTAGTCACTAGATTGGATGTTTCATCTCTGTTGAGTCTCATCCTTCACATTATCTATGTTCCCTGGGACAGAAAAACAGTTTACTTGGCATTTGTTCTGCTCCTACTCCCCTGTATCGGTGCTGATCGCTGCAAATCCACCAGACTGTGACAAGGGCAGCACCTTCCACTCAGGAGTGGGTCATCTGAGCAGTGCAACACCTGTGGTCCTTCCCACATACAAAGCACATTGCAAATGTTGCTTTTGGCTGGTCTTTTCGACTGGCCCATAAAAAGAAAGCCACTTCATTGAACAGTATGCGTTAAAGCTAATCAAATAAATAGCAAGGAAATACATGGTTATTATTCAGAAACTGCAAGCTATTTGAATGTTTTCGATCATTATGATTGGAACTGATGTGTTAGAATTAGTTCAGTTTAGCCAGAAAAAACACTTTCTTCACAGTTTTACATACACCCACAATAATTTTACTGAACACTGAATACTGTAATTTGCCTTTTTCTCATAGCTCTCTTGGCCCATTTTGTTTCATTTCCTGAAGCTTTCTATTCCTTATCTCGCTGCACCATGTTCAGTGACATGTCCATTGCATATTTTTCATGAGCTTCTCATCTTTCCCTTATTCTTGAAGCCTCACAAACAAACCAGAAAGCAATCAGACACTGGAAAATCCCCAAACAGATAAATTAATGTATGCTACAGCTTGATGCTTCTCGCTTAAGTCTTGTTTTTAGCTTTTTAAGTTCAGTATTTTTATCAATTTTAAGACCATAGTCCGTGATTTTCCAGGCTTCTTCATAACGCTGCATTTCAAAATGATATTGTGCGACCTTATGAAATGTTTTGGTTAAAATTTCACTGCCAGGGCCATTCATGATGCTGCACAATGCCATAGATTCATCTAACTGCAGTGCCTCAATATATTGCTTAACTGCTGTTTCTTCCTCAGCCATTGACAACAGCAGGTGTCCTTTTGAGCAGTGGTCCTCAATGCGGGTTTTAAGGCTGTTACGCCCATGCTTCTGGATCACTTTCTCTATATCTTTTAAAGCTTTGTCATATTTTTTCAGGTGCATAAGGCAAGCAGCTCTCTGTCGGAGATACCTTGGATTATCTCTGCTTGTCAAGACAGCCAGGGTATAATAACCGAGAGCCTTCTCGTAGTGGTGTTCTTTAATCAGCACATTTCCTTCTTGGGCTGCTGCCTGCGGACAGAAAGTTACTTTAATATTAGCTATTAAAAGTGGAAAAAAAAAAAAGTAAAATATCTAGTCTGGACTGGCCACAGGTAGACACAAACACTAAGAAATTTTGGATGCTTTTTCAGATGTTGAAATTGCGTCTAGTTGGAGACCATATAATTGGCATATATTTTGCATGCAGATGTAAAAAATCCTGGCTCAATGGGCACTTGCTGTTATCTTGAGTTTCTGAACCACTCTTCTTTGTTTCTGCATGTTTTGCAAAAACTTTCTCAGAACATTTCTTCTGAAGTTGTTTCCATTCCTTAGGAATGATGTGTGAACTGAAAACTGAATGGACCAAACTCTCAAAGTAGACAGTGTTCCCTTCACAAAACCAAATTTCTGCCAATAGCAGGTGACTGTCTGGAAACTGCATCTTTTGGTCAGCAGCTAGTTCGCCCCATGTACTGCCTCACAAATATCTGCATGTGCTAATAATGCAGGTTGGTCTCTGCTGAAGTTTACCCTAGCTATAGGAAAAAATGGCCACCTGATGGCTTTGCTAATCATTAATCTCATGTGCAAGTGAACTATCTGCCCTTATCTTGAAAGGAAAAACAACAACAAGAAAATAGAGCAGGCAGAAAGAGCCACATAATTTTAGGTTCATAAAGGTCAATAAAGAAAACTCCATTAGAACTATTTGCCTCAAATGGATTTCTCATTATTTCCCTTGATTGGTAGTAAACAAAGCTTTTAACGTGCTGCAGCAGAGTGAATATTTAAGTTATAAACAAGGCTGCCACCAGCAGTTCTGGTCTTACAGAAGGCTGAGCCAAACAAGCTGAGACTTCAAGCACACGATAAATGTTTTCATCAGTCTCATTCCATGGGATATCACACACTGCCTTCGGATGCTCGAGGCTCCCAGAATTCAGTTAGCCCAGCCGCTGTCTCCGGAGCCACGCTCGACAGGCGGCTCAGGTCTTCCAGTCTCTGTGTGCCTTGTCTTTTGATTTTGGTTGACTTAGATTAGAATTGATTGCTGGTTGACAGAACTAAGGAAAACAGGTTTTGGATGAAATGGATCAATATTGCAGGTCACATCCAAGCACCTCGTCTGAGACCAGTGGCATGAAATAATTTAGCCATTCCCAGCAGTTTATGAAGAATTCTAACCCAGTTACTTTGCTATAAAGGAATGTAAAATCCTTGATGTAGTCGTATTTATTAAAGAGTCTCTCAGCAGCTTCTGTATATAGAAATAGAGATAGGACTTCTCCCCAAATAGTGTCAGTCACTGGCTTTAATAATTCTGGCCATAAATTGTAAGGCACCCTGTCCAAAAACATCTCAGATGTCTGTTTGTGCATACACTTAAAAAGCAGCAAATTTAGTTTGTCCTTTCAAGTGTTTTTAAGGCAACTAGTCAATGCAAGGGTTTTCTCAGTGGCAGGATTTTAACAGGGGATCAAGGTGGAATTGCATCTGCATGTGAGGAGCATCCTGATGAGAAGATTTTTCTTCCTAGAAATTCTAAAGTTCTAGATCACATTGTTCTAAAGAGTACATTGAGTTTCCTCAAAATACCTTGTGTTTGTATAGATACATTGTAATTTTCAGGCTTTAAAGTGTGTTTGTGGTCTTAGTAGCAAAAGAAAAATACAATTTTTGTTGTTCTTCTGAATGACAAATGTAATGCTGAACCTGCTAGCATGCTAACCAGGATCACTTTGGTTTTACTGCATCACATACAATATTGCCACTTACTAACGGAGCCACTGCTTTCACTTCTCCGCATTTCACTGACAATTCACAAAGTAAGCAAGCCACAAGATTCTGGATTTCCTACTATACTTGGGGGAAAAAGGTGTATCTGAGAATAAATGGTTCTCTCTGCTCTTCACCAATGGAGTAAATATGGGCATCAGGCAGCTCGATTCTCTTTTGGCTCAGCCTGACTCAAAGGGACCCATTTTTGGTGTATAACACAGATTAAATAGCAGCTTACTTGCACATCATCTTCTGAAAAAAGATAAATATGAAAAGAAGACTTATGGAAAGAAGATACAGGAAGTCTGTTGACAGCCAGCAGGATATTGCACAACTGACTTCAGCTGCTCTCTGCATGTGGCTTTATAGAAGCACATTTTTTTGCCATCAGCCTCATTGCACGTGGCTGTAGCAGGCCAAGAGCAGGCTCTGTAGTCCATTCATAGATGAACTGTAGTCTGTCTTCAAATTTGTCACTAAAGATTTGATTATGGCTTCCAGACTGAAATAATCCAGGTGCCATCTGGACAGGGCTCAGCAGGCCATAAGTGATGGGTGATTGGACTGCTTCCTGGATTAGGTCTCTCTGTCCCGTTCTGCCGTCTAGTTACCTCACTGTGTGATAAAGGACTGAAAATACAGGTATTTTTGCTGCATTTTGGGTTCCAGTCCCTAGTGACTCATGTTGGAGTTGACCAAGGTTCAATTCCTTAGGAAGAAGATGAGTGAGGAGTTTAACAGACGTGGAATTGTGGCCAAGGGTCAGTCTCTGAGCTGTAAATACCAGAAGATGGACTGCTGAGCACTGAGCTTTGGAAGGGGGCTGGATGCTTTCAGAACAGCTTGGAGCAAATCTTTCCTTCTTTACCTGCAAACCCTATTTGGGGTCCATATGCCATGAAGGCATGTGGAATGGCAACTTCTGCCTTGGGCTGACAGCCTAATTCTGACACAGACCATACAGCTTTTGAGACCATTTCTGTAGGAGTCAGCTCTGGATGTCCTATGGCATGTCAACAGCCAACAGCAAGCGCGGTTCTAAGGACCTGGACAAGGAGCTAGGGATCAGTCATGCATTTAACCTCTGACATAGGAAACTGAAGGGTTGAAGCTGCACTAGCGGCAAGCAAACTCCCTTCCTCTGACCTTTTGCAGTTTAATAAATCTTTCAGATTCCTATTCCCATGTGGCTCTCCCAGTTGTTTACAAATTTCTTAGCAGGGGACCCCTTAGACTATAAATAATGGAAGAATTTTATTGCTTTGTTTTTCGTGGAAAAAAATCAGTACATCAAGGAGCTCTCCTTTCTCCACCCTTTCCTATTCAGCTACGTAGAATTATTTTTAGCTTTTCAGACCAGACTCCAGGATAATGATGACACATTTCTATAATGCCTGTAATCTCCCACCACTCTAAAACAATGTGGTGGTAGTACTTTTCTGCGTGGAGTGCTGAGACCGAGGGCTGAGCGTAAACCACTCAACTCTTTGCTTCAAGTGCCCTTATTTGTGAGATGGAGGTAGCAGAAAGAACACCCTCCTCGAGAGCATAGTTAGGAGCTATGGCAAAGTAAGGCCATCATTGGGGTTTTTGGACTAATTCTGTCTGTAAGCTTTTTTGCTTTTACTGAGTTCTTCCTTTCACACACAAACTGGAATAACCTTGCAGGCAAAAGCAAGTGGTGCTGGAAAATCCTTTGAGACACCAGGCAGGTGAATTAACCAATTCCTTCTCCACCCCGGCAAAGTACATACTATCCCTTTGTCGTAAAATACATATAACAAAAAAAATCATGATTCTGGGCTAATCAGTAATAAAAGTAATCACATTTGGTGTATATCTTTGAAGATTAGACAATATGAAAAGACTCCCAGGTGCTTGAGTCCAAATGTTTAACTTGGTTAACAAAAGCGCAAGGTTAAAGATCAAAAGAAAAAAAAAAAAATCTATTTTACTTCCAACACTGGTATTGAATTTCAGTCTTGAAATCAGTCCAGCCACCCCTATGTGGCAGGGAAATCTTCCATGATAAATAAGCCACCAGCAAAGGGTTTTATTCCAGACCCTGTTCCACAGCTGCCAAAAAAACCCCACAGAAATAAAGTGTCTCTCTCATTTTAAAGGTTTAACTAAGCTGTGGCACCAGTGAGTTCCTAATACATCAGTGCAGTTTAAGCTGTACAAAAATTGGTTTGTAGTGGGGTTTTTTTCTTCTCTTTTTTTCTTATTGACAGCATAAGAAAATCCCTCTTGTGTTTTCTCAGAAAGCAGCACGGATGGACTTAGCTGTGAGACTTCCATACAGAATGACTGATGTGGTAGCAAGGGAAATTCAGCTGTAAAACCTGTCTTCGTTTATAGACACCTCCTTAGGGCCTCCATAGACACATTCTTGATCGTATCTTTCTCAACTTTATATAGTGAAAGATTGCAAATTGGCTCTAAAATCTTCAAACTCTTCCCCATAAGACTGAACTTTTTACATTATTCAGAAGAGAGGAGCTCTTCTCTCTGTAATGGGGTATATCTAGGGGCTGGTAAATTAATACTTGTTTACTTATATCCTCCTGCTGTTTTGCTAAAATACGTACAAAGTACTCCTCTCAAGATGCATTAAGTATATCAGCATGTTGTTTGTTTTATAACCTGGGAGAAAGCATAACAATATAGCTTCTCACCAGGGTGCACACAATCTACAAATTGAATAAAAGGAAGCAAACTGATTCTCAGAACATGGAGCTTCTGGGTAATCAGAACTACAGATGCTTGAGTGAATGTTAAAACTCCTCACCATCAATCTGACCTTGCCCTGTCTTATTACTGGAGATGCTTTCTCAGAGCTGGATGTACTTTGGGGGAGAAACTTTAAAAAAATACTGAAACATACATACTTGGGTGGACTAGAGAAATGTGCCATTCTTTTTGTCAAACAGTTTTAGCTGACAGAACCAACATCAACCTCAAAGGCTCATCATTTTATAAAAATGTGAATATATTTAAATCTCTAAATCTTACACAAAAGAGCAGAAACGACTGAGGCATTTAATGTGACTGAACCCAGAACCTTCAGTTTCGTTTCATCAAGAAAATGAACAAAACATGAATTCCCTTTCCCCAGAAGCCAGCTCTGAGCACCGTGTAACTCTATAGCGTACTATACCAGCAACGATCTTGTTAAATCTCTACCTGCTGCCCCTCACATCCCCTGCATTGCAGCGCTGGGATTAAACAGGTCTCATGCTACGGAGACCAATAAGAAATTCCCCCACGTGGTAAGAAGTGGTAATAATGAATTATTGAAGACTGAATCGAGGTCACTGCAAAGAAGTGTGGATTCAACTCCCTAGTCTGGCTGAAGTGAAGGCTGGAGGAAGAAGCCAATTTGTTCCTTGTTCACCTGATAAATGGTCTTCCCACACGCTTCTGTTCAAGACAAGGCAGGGAAAATCTCTGCAGCCTAATTTTGCTCCCATTTCTTTCCTGATTGAATCCACAGATGTGGCATCAAAAAAGGACTGTACCTGAGCGAGATGCTGCTGTTGCTTAGCGTCTACAAAGTTCAGGAGAAACCCCAGCTCGCTTTCATCTCTCTTAGCTAGGATGCTGAATGAGTGAGCTGCTGCTGGCACGTTCCTCTTCCTCAGCTGCAGCACAGCCAGTCTTGCACTAGCAAAGTCATCAGCAAGAGAGTGGCCAAATGCCTCCTGAAGGTGCTCAAGGGCCTCTTCGTACCTTCCTGTTGGTTAACACCAGTACAAGCTATATAACCCATTCCGTGTGGAGAAAGAGACATCAAGAAAACTCACTAACGCAGGATTTAGGTAGCCTGTCCACAGTCCACATCTAAGGGTATTAACTACTTCATACCCTTTTCCAAAACATTTGCAAACGTCTCTTAAAAAGTACTATACAACAATACACTTGCCATTTAACATTCACTTTCTTTTAATTTACTGCTTGTTCACTTCAGTCTGATCAGTTATGTAAAAGAATGGGAACTTACCATCTGCAATCAAAACATCTATGTAGAAGATGTGATATGGTGAATCCTTGCAAACTTTAATTAGTGCTTGTGCAATCATGAGAAGATCCCTGAGGGTTTCTTTTTTCGAGAGGTCTTTAGTGGCAACAAGCTCAGTTAACGCAGTCCTGCCATGCTGAAGAAGCCACTGAGTGAGCAACCCTTGGGCTTCAGGCTTTAAAGACAGGATTGCTGGGATCACTGCTCCTGCCTCCACCTTCAGTGCCGAGATCAAATCTTGCACTGCCTCCTACGTAAAAACAAGACCAAAATATGAAATGGCAGTAATAACCATGTATTGATAATTTGTTTCCAGGTGCTTTCAGTTCTCTGCTGTCCCACAGGTCAGCCGCGCACCTTTGGAAGCTCGATGACCTTCCCTGCCCTTGTGCTGCATCTTTTCCATTTGCAAAGCTCACATACGAGCATAAAGACAGGTTTGGATGACTATTTGCAAAGTGTTTTGGACTCGTCAGATTATTCTTGAAAAAAATTCTTACAGCAAGAAGAAAGAGATGCTGTGAATGATTAAGTGCAAGGAGTATTTGACTCATCCAGCATAAACCAGCACTAATCCACACACCCAACTGGAGATGCACCATTTCCAATTTGCTGTAAGACTGGTGTGATACGCAGGCGAAGGGTAAGGCTGCTGACCATATTAGAAGCAGATAAACCATGCAAACATCTGACATGGTTCCCAGGCGATGGTATACTGCAATCTCCAAAGTCCATTGTAACGCTAATTGCACACACAAGCTTTTCACAGATGGAAAGAGACTCACTAAACCTTGAAACTGTTCTTTCTTTTTCCTCTTACTGTTGCTACATTTCATCTAACACACTATCGTGTCATGAAAATATGACATCAAATACAGGGGAGAGCTTGCAGCATTGCAAATCAATGCATGGCAGTGACAATGAATAAGCTCTATGACTAAGGTTTAGTCTTCCTCTCTCTAGACTTGGGAAAGCAAATCAGTAACATCAAGTGGAATACTTGTACACTCAGCCAAAACAAGGGCCTTCACTGACCAAATTCTGTGAGAAACTCTTTTGATTTCAGTGAGTCCATGACAAAGCCTGTGGTACCTTAAACTAATATTGCTTAATACTGTCAGAAAAGTCACCAGCAAATCAATATAGCGATAATACCTTCTGCTGCTTCAGAGCAAGGTAAATGAATCCTCTTCCACTCAGAGCTTGCACGTTCCTAGGGTCCTCCTTTAGGATGGCATTAAAATCAAAAATAGCAGTTTTCTTCTGACCAAGGCGCCCATAACATTGAGCCCTGATGAGAAGGCAGTCTTCAGCATAACCACCTGGAGGAGAGAAACACAGCCATGCTTACTTGAAAGGTCTTGAGTTAACTTGAAAACAGGGTGCAGTAAATCCCAGTGTGCTCAGACCACTAAGCCCCACTGAAGGGCTTCACAGCAGCTAAGTGAAAATGATGCGGTTGACCTACCTGTCGTGTTACGGTGACTGCAGGAATGAAAAGTACTACTTCATTCAGAGCTGTGGCAAGGGTGGAATAAGAGGGGTGGGCTGGATGGAGACAAATGTGCTATTATAAGGAACTACAATCCACAGATGTGACTGGAGAAAGAATCAGGAGGGTGCTTGAGAGGATATCCAAGGATATCCATATGAAGCTACAAAAAAATTCCACTTTGCCTGAGGATACCTGATGAAGTACAATGAGAGTACTTAAGTGGCAGTTTATTTTTGTTGCCAGTGGAATTCCTGTCGCATACTATCAGTTCTGAGTTGAAAGGAAAAAAAGAGTCTATGTCAGGTTGGTTTCCAAAACATAGCACTGCATCAGTTAAGTGGCCCATTGAGGCTAGCAGAATTCTGTCAAAGAATGATTTTTGACTGGTGAAATCTTGAAAGTGTTTTCTAGTGTGCATGACAGACAAGGCTACTTTGATGTTCTAGGTCTTGTGGTGTATGTGTCAATGTCATTCTGCAGGGAAACGGTGGGTTGTGGTTCAGTGCTGCTGCTCAGGACTCGAGTTCGAGGTTTAGCTTTGCTTCAAAATTCCTACCTAACTTCAGAAAAAGCACTCAATGTCTTTGTATGTCATCATCTAACCTGGGAAACACATCTTTCATGGCTAGTTGGGATGATTTCAGTGTATTGGACACAAGCCACAGAAATATTAATGCAGTTTGGGTGTTACCCTAGCCTAATACTGTCAGCCTAACAGCTTTCCCGCCCAGGCAGCAGGGCCACCCACCAGTGCCAAGGTGAACCCGGCCCTTCTCCCTGTGACATAAAGCTGGCCATCTTTCTCACTTAGGGATGGCAGACAGCAGAAACCAGTGTATCGTCATACTTGCTCTGTCTGCCACCAAGGAACAGGCAAGCCTGGACCAATAAAAAAGTCTGGGCTGCAGTATGTGCAAAAAACTTTTTCAGGGCAAATATTTTGATAAATTTTTCAAAAAATAGATTCTGCATGTTATAAACAGAAGAACCAGTTACAGAAATAGCTAGAAAGGTGTATATATATTCATATTTGCAGCAAGAAAAAAAATAGTTCTAACAGTGATCTACAGAAAGAAAAGGCACTTTGCTGAGAGTACTTGTATGGCTGCAATTTATTACTGCTACTGTCCTACTGTGACTCAACTCTAAGTTTCCAGACAGGAACAGGAACCACACTGTGCCAGGCACACCAAAAACACAAGCCCCACTTCAAAGAGTCTTCAGTCTAGTTAAACATGCCAAAAGAACACTGTAATAAAAAATTGAATGAGTGGAAAAGGTAACAGAATGAAAATCATAAAATCACATTGCTCAACTAGCTCAAAAGCTTCCTGGTTCCTAATAAAAACAAATACACACGTCGGTCAACACTGTCTCTCCTCAAATATCCATGACTGTTTTCCTGACTGCCTCAAGGTCTCAGCAAGAGTGGGTCTCCACAGGAACAGCCAAAGGAAGCAAAAGGAGCAGCCGTAATTATTAACCATTCAACCTTCCCACACAGGCAATTTTTTTCTACCTTCTATGGGATACCTAGACTCAGCCAGCTGACAGTATAGAGAAATTTCGTGTTTTCCAGTTGTCATGGAACTACTTCTGTCAATTTTTGAGGACGTCTGGAAATCTTTGCCCTTTGTTATTCATTCACTGGTTGCAGAGCATATATCTTTCTGCCATCCACATGACCCATCCTTTCAAGGCAATTTCAATGAGGATCTTAATTTTCCCAGGATTGCAATCAATAACTGTGGCATCCCAATACTGGATGATGAATCATCAGTGCCACTGTAAATATTTTTTCATAGGGAGTTCAGCAAATGCAGCGTCTTGCACAGCTGCACGCAGAGATGAGCCAGCAGACAAGCTCTAGCAATTCTTTTACAGTAATGAGGCTTTTCCTCCTTCCTGACATGCTCCAAAACTTCTGTACCAAAGGTTATTATCGCTCTGGAGCTCTATCAATTGGATGCTATAAAGACAATCTCTATTTCTTAACAAGCATCTGTTCTAGCAGGTGGGGAGTTGGTAAGCTGGAACGTATGGGCTGTGAAATGGAACAATCTCCAAGCAATTAACAGGGTTTTTTTGCCATTTTTATAAGCCAATCTCTCTTCTTCTCAATGCTGCTGTCATAACATTTGCTCAGAGTGAAAGGCAGACTTCCATACAAACATGGTTTTGCTTGGAACATGCCAGAAGCGTTTCCATATTAGCCTGATCTCTCGCCTTAGGAAAAGCTAGGATAATGATGCATGTAAGTGGGTGCATTCACTCTTTTGCTCTGGAAATACGCATTCAGTGGTGTGTTGGAAGAAGAAGGCAGGCTGTTTGCTGCCATGACTGTATTTACAGCATGCTCATTCTGATGAAACAGGAGGTACTGAACAAACTTCATTGGCATGAAGTACATGTAACAAATTAAGGCTGAAACAGGGGAGCCTTCTGCTTCTGCATCGCTTGTTTAAATTGGGCTGAAACTGGCTCTGTTTCAGTAGCTTTTCCAAATTACTTACTGGCTAGCATCTCCTCTAAAAGTTACACAAAACAAACTGGATGAAGGCTGCTTCTTTATTCTGAAAGGCGCCGCTTTCATTTATCACAAGTTTGGCTTTGATCTCTAAGAAACAATTATATTGTGTTTTCAAAGAAGCTTTCATCCCTTTCTAGATTAAGTTTAATTTTCTGGGGAAACATTTCCAAAAATACAGTCATCCAACCTAGTAGCTGAAAAACAGGATCAAAAAGCCCTGGCTTCTCTTGACATTACCAGGCTTCCAGCTTACCTCAGTCACCTGTGTGCACAGTTACTTACTGAAAAATCAACTTTTATAGAAGGAAAAGTAATTATGTAGGATATCCTTGAGACTTTTCCCTCTATTTTGAGCATGTTTCTGTTGCTGTGATAAAACAGCCTCCCTACACTAAGCACAGCAGAATTCCCCTGCCATTCTGCTCTTCCTTTACCAACGGAAGAACAACGTTACACTGCTTATCCTAAAAGCCTCTTTTTTTTAAACCACAGTAAAGAAGGAAAGCATGGCACGTGAAAAGGAAAATAATGTAATGGCTCTGAGAAGATGGCGCTGCTCACATTAAAACATGTAGTTTGCTGAGCAGCACAGCTGTACTTGTGAGAAAAATCTGTGACCATACGTATGAAAAAAATTATGGTTACAGATCAGTTTGTCCAGACCAATTACTCAGAAGAAACCTACAGCAACCAAACAGTAATTGCAGTCTGATGTTTGGTAGCAGGTCTACCAGAACAAACGACTGTAAAGCGTAAAGAAGACATACATTGTGTTTCCTGTATACTCCACACATCACATTTCTGGAGCAGGAAAAACGGGGAAATGATTAGATCAGAAATATTAAGCCACCAGCTCGAAATAGATGGGTTCAGGATGTTAAAGCTCTTTCCCAGTTATGAAGGAATTGTGGGTTCTGTGTGTTGATATGACCCAGTAAGGGTGGTTTATGCCTGAACTTAACTTTTAGCATGTGAACAATGCAATTTAAAAGAACGCTCAGCTGTGCTCCAGGAGGATTTCAGGTCCTAAACAACAGAACAAAATCACATGTTGGGTCTTCTAGACAGGTGAAGAAAAGGGGCTGATGTCCCTGTAGAGGTGAACTGAACCCTTGCAATGCATTTCAAGGAGTTATGGGACAGTAAGGACTGTGATCACTGTTTAATTGCACTATTTCCTGGTCCAGATGAGTTGCTACTTTAAGCAAATTTTATCCCACTCATCACCTGCCTTTGTAAGTCTACTGTAAGTCTTCTCATTGGGGAAATGACAGATGAGAATTGGTTGGACGTGTTTGCCTACCCACTGATCTGACTTCCCACAGAAGCATATCTCCTGTCAGTATCTTGATAACCCTACCTGAGGCAATGATGGCAAAGGAAAGGTAGGCAATGGCCTCTTTGATGTCAGCGTCCTCCTGTTTGCTCTTCAAGATGGTCAGTGCTCTGAAATGGCAGTGAGTTTGCATCAACCTCCGGTCTTCATCTTTGAAAATGTCCATGATTGGCAGGAGGCAGGAGGTATCTCCAATTCTGATCACTTTCTTTAGCAGCTTAACAATGGGAAAGAAAAAGGCAGAAGAGAAAGACTGGTATGAAAAGATAAATGAAGCCATGCTACAGCTGGAAATATTACTGCCTGGTGAGACAAGTATGCTCTCACTCAGTGCTTCCCCAAGTTTCACTGGGGCTTCAGCCAGCCACGGTCCAGTCAAGGATCATGAATCTCTATCACTTAACTCCTCAGGTGGTCCTAGTGTAAATGCATGTTGGAGAAAACACTAATTCTTATCTTTTCTCACCACCACTGCAGCTGTGGAAATCACTCTGTGGAAATACTAATGCTGCTTTGCTTACTTTGGGCAGCATCTGTTCCAGACTGGCAGTTAACTGTTTTTATAAATACAGCTGAACCACAGGACTATTACTCCAAAGAGAGAAAGTTTCTGTGGAACAGCAGGATTCCAGTGGCCCCTTTTGACTGAAAAAATTGAAACCAGTGAATTAATGGAAAATCAGTGAAGTGCTGTGCCTTTCTTTCAGTACTGCTATTGGGAATCTGGGAGAAGTATGGATTCAAATCCATGAACTACTGTCCTCCTGGAAAAGAATCTTGCCTGACGTATGGTACCTTTCACTAGAGTGAAAATCACCAAGCACTTTTTTACTATGTTTCCTAAGGAAAAGAATCAAAAGGTGTTTCCTCCAGTAAAGCAAATGTGCTTAGCAGGTACTCAACATTCAAATCTGAGCCAAAGAAGCCAGGACAAGAACAAAGTTATCTTGGTGCACCAGACACATCCACTGAATTTATTACTTTCTCTATTTTTATTAATAGATAGAAGTGTCTGGCTGGGGACAGGCAGGTGGGACAAAAATGTTTTGAAGAGAAATTTTTGCCAACACGTGTTCCATCTAGAACTTGTAGCAGAAGCTGCAGATAGGAATCCAACCTCCAAGGGCGACATATGGACTCTAATAAAGTCATGCCATTCATTAATAGCCTTCCCAAAGGCAGAAAATCATCCAAAACTTGAGTTTTTCATAAGGAGCAGTGAGAAGATGACAATAAAACCTTTCTCTTTATAGCCAGTAGAATTTATATCGGATTTTAAAAATGCAATAGTTCCCTCTGATGGCAGAACCGGGTAATTCTGCTTTGTAGGAGAACCAACACGTTGGAATCTCCTTCATGATTTCAAGCACAAGTCCTTAGCCGCTAAAAACAGAAAATTGTGTACTGGTATTTGAGCTTCTGGTTTTGTTTCTTTCCCCCCCACTAATGCTTCATTAGGATAATCGGTTAGGTGGTAGTTTTGCCTTATTCTCTCTAGGGGAAAGTTACCAGTCCCGTCAATATTGTCACCAGGGGCGTGATGCTCAGTCATGCTCTGCCTAGTTACAGTCTCTGATGAAAAGTGCCATTAAATAGCATGTGATGAATAGGGTGTATTTAGCTAGGAGTCCTTGTGTGGCTTGCGATACAGACAGAATGTTCTCCTTAGGAGGCCTGTATTTACCTGTTTACCACCATTCCTGAGAAGTGTCTTGAAGCACAGGTTGGGGTAGCTGCAGTCCCACTGGAAAACCCATCCACAGGTTGTGTGATGGGGTGGGCTCCAGCTTTGCACCATGCGATGAGGTGACCTCACAGTGCACCTTGTACCCAGAGCCTTACCGCTGTCGTGTAACACTGAGGAGCAGGAGACAAGCAGAGCAGTGTGCTGGGAAAGTGGACCCTCTTCAGTTCTACCATGCATCTTCTGTATCAGCCAAAACGGTTGTTAACCCTCTTCGCCATACCATCCCCGATTACTCTCTCATTCTCTCTGCTAGCGAGGTGCTTCTTACCTGGTTGCCGTCATATATGAAACCTTTCTTCAACTGCAGCAGTGCAAGTCTAGCCAGGATGGGAGACCTTTGTGGATTTCTGGAGAGTGCTAGCAAGAGGAGCTTGTGAGCTTCTTCTACACAGCCCATCTGGTACAGGGCATCAGCACAAAGGATCTGTGATGCTTCATCAGAGGTGTCCAGCTCCACCAAGAGAGAAGCCAGCTGGTAAACCCCAGGAGCATCTCTGGAGGAAAAAGAAAAAGGAAAGGAAAAATGCTAATGAGAGTAACAGAGCCTCTTTGTCTCACCTGGAAACTAAGAAGCAGGTTACCAGTCCAGTATCAAAATGGATGACCCGTTTTGCCATATCCAGCACCACAAGTAGCTCTGCAACTTTATTCCATAATCATAATACCTCTTTATAAAAACATGTCCTTAAGCAGTTGTGGCTGTAAAGAAAGAGTAACAAATCATGATTCATATCTGTGGTTGCAGCTGATACCACAATGGGAAAAGGAAAAAGTAACGGTGATAGTGAAAAAGAAATAAAATTGCCATTTCTAATGAAAAGCTGTGTGTTAAAAATTGCACAGGCTCAGAAGAGCCATGTTAATACGCTGCTTCTTGTTCCAGCAGCAGTGACCCGTGTCTAAGCGGCTTGTGTTTGTGCCCTGATCTGCCAGCGCAACACCGAATGAGTTAGCACATTTTTCTGTCCTTCAGTTCTACCACTGGAGTGCAGGCCTCAAGCACTGGGTGTGAAATGTGCATCGTGAAACTGAAGAAAAAGGCCATAATAGCACTAAATTAAGAGACTAAATAAATGTGGGTATCAGTTGCAAAAAGCAGCCACCTGAGATGAACTTTCCAATGCTATTTCACACGTCAAATTTTCAAGTTTTCCCTCGAAATATTTCACATGAGGAAAAACTGAGAAAGTAATATAAAAAATCAGTTTTGGAGAAAATGGAAGACTTTTCCTGGGATGGTATCAGACAATACTCTGAAAATGAAATACTGAAACTTTTACATTTAAATAGTAGCTTGTGTTGGGTTGGAAGAAATAAAAAAAACTAATACAGATACTACTTCGATAAGCAATATTTTCTGACCTTTAAAAAAATTCTTTTAAGTGTTAAAACTTCAGAGTCCCTCTGTTACACCTTGTTCTACCTTCAAACTCAGGTTTTAATAGATTTAGCTGGAATAGTTTGGTGTTACCGGCTCAAATCTCCCAGCCTTAAATACATTAATACAGTCAGTATTGAAAGAAGAATTTGGATTGCCAGCACCAAGTACGTGCACAGCAGCACCTCAGCTCTGTCTTGGAAGGACACTTTCTAGTGGCTTCGTACTTCATGGCCCACCAAACCCTTCTGTTCGGAGCTGAGAGAAAAAGGAACCACCCAGCACCAACAAATCTGTTTTATTACGGGTGTATCTACTCCTTTAGAGGAGAAATCTGTCATATTCCCTCCAGCACATTGCTTGCTCCTAGCTTAGGCCAATTGGTATATCAGGGTTTAAATTCCATAGAAAGACTGAGCTGATATGGCTATGTGGATCCTATTGCACTCTGACATACCAGCAAAACAATATTTTGCTGGAAGAGCCACACCTGTCCAGTTTTATTTCAACCTGTTATGTTAATTAGGAACTTTAAAAGGGTCTATATTCTATTCTCAGTTATCTGAAGAAAGTACTCGATCTGCACAGCCCTGTTTTTTTTCTGCCCACAAGCTAAACTGCCTCCTGGGTACCTCTTCTTCTGGAGCATCTTCTGTCCTTCTTCTTGGAGAACCTTTAGCAGCAGTCCTCTTTGGTTCCATGGCACGTAGGACTTGATTGTGAAGATGGTTTCTTCCAGCTTTAACTGGCAAGCTGTGATATAATCCAGGGCTGTCAAGTAATGGCTGCCACCAGAAATCCGGATAAGTCCACGCCCACATAAGGCTTTAATACAGCTGTTAGGATGCGGGGAATCATGCTCAATGACCTTTTGAAAGTCCTGCAGGGCTTGCTGATGGTCATGAGCGTGGAGGGAGCAGAATCCTCGCAACGCTAAGAGAGTGTTATAGTAAGTTTTCTGTTCTGCTGCCAAGAGGTGGTCACAGATATCCAGGGCAGCTCTGATGTGTCCGTGCAGGAGATGGCAGTCTGCTAGCCGAACACTGAGCTCACGTTTGGACCCTGGGGAGATCTGAAGGAGGAACTGGACTGTCTGGATGACAGAAGGGAGCAGTTCGGTACCATGATCGCCTCTGAGTTCAGTCCGAGTACGCACAGCCTCCCTGTATGCTGCAAACTTCACCTCCAGGACAGTCCTCGCCTGTTCTTCTATCCTCTCGGTGTCATGTGGTGAGAAAAGCTCTTCGAAGTGTTTCATTGCCTGGGCAGGGGTTGCTGCAAAGGCTTCTGTTAAGTCCTGTATCATTTCCTGCATCCGTCCACCCAAGAAGAAATATGCAGCAGCCCGTTCCAAGAGCAGACCCAAAGCTTCCTCATCTCTGAGATTATTATCAGCTGAGAAGCCCTTGAGGGCCTTGCTACAAACTGCCGCACACTCCTCAAATTTGCTTTTCTTAAAGAGGTAAGCTGCCTGCACCCTGCAAACCCAGATATCATCCGGCGCCACCGCAGAGAGGAAGTCATAGCAGTTGCCCAGCCACTGGTCCAAGGAACTGCAATCTGGGCTCTCTTTCTGATACGTTGACAGATAATTAGAGAAGGCCTGGATGACCTGTGGCAGGTGTTCCCTTTGCCTACTACACACATAGGCCACCGCCTCAGCCCGATGCATTAGAAAGGCTTGGATATAGTCCGCCCCTCCCCTCCC